GAAAGTCTCAAAAAAAATAAATGAAAGAACGAAAAGTTGAATGTTGGCTGAATACATATCCAAATAAACTGACTTATAAATAATGAAACAAAATTAATAAAGGATAAACAAATGATTAAATAATGAAATGGATGGATAAATGAATGTGTCACTGAAAGAAAGAACGGAAAATTGGATGAATGAAAATAGAAAGGGATGGATGGGTGAATGCAATGAATATAACCAGTAAGAAAGAAATTATGTATTATAAAATGTAATTAAATATTATACAATGCACAGAACTGTACCTCGCGACATGCTAACTGCAGAGCCTTGCGGCTTTCAAAGTAAGTGTTGTAACCTCGTAATCTTGGGAATATATCATTCCTGGAATCATGATCATAACATTCAGTGTTTTCATTGACATGGAAAAAAATGCCAAATTATGATACATATAGGCTAAGTGTTTGTGGACTAAAGGAGTATACATTACATTGTATTTACCATATATTCACTTTCAATATTTAAAAATGTTTGGCCTCGTATTTGAAAACGTGGAACATTTTTCAAGAAAAGAATATCTCATGGCGAGACTTGCAATAGTATATTATATTTTTATTTTAGTAGTGTTTGTTGCCATTGAATTCAAACCACATAGGCAAATATATTTTGAATATATTAATTACGCATGGAAATCCCAAGATTCTTTGCAGGCTGAAGACTGTGTCTTGTGTCCTAGCAACAACATATGTGTATAGTGATGCTGCCATAGCAACAAACATACCTTAAAGCATCAACCTCCGCTTGGGAAAGTTTCTCTTCATCGTGATATTTATGAGACTCGGTGCCACCATGGCCATACCCTCCTGGACCAAATAAGAAACTGTAGCAAGGTATGTTGCAGTAAGGAATCCCACGATGCTATAAACAAACAAACATCACTTACATCATATCCTTGTTTCTGATTGACTGATTGAAGTGTAAATATTTGGTACCGGTATATCATTTGGTATATCATGTAAGAAAATGTGATGAGAAGAACAGCCGTGCCATTTGACGTCTTCTCATGGCATACTTTTTGGTTTCTCATAACATTTGATGTCATTTGTGTATCTATTAGAGTTACAGACGGTATCTGTTTGCTGGATACAAAGTCTTTTTGACCATGTTCTAGCAGTTAAATTCACAAGCTGAGGTTAATCACATGTCAAGGTTTTGATTTTTTTAAATTACACAAAAATACATATTGCATACACCTTATTCCAAAATGGCTGACTAGCCCTTGATGTCTCGTTTTCATAAAATTATTCTTTTGTCTTTGAGCTTGAGTGACTTTAAAAGAAA